TCTTTTTCACAGGATCAAGATGGAGGGTGTTCTGATACAACCCATGGTCTGAGAGCCAGACGCTTGTGAATCATGATTCCTAACATGTTAAGCTCTAGGAAGTCTGCTCATACGGTCTATCATCAGATATAGAAGGCATATTTTGCTTGGTTAATGTCTCTTGGCTTCTGCCCAAGGAGATTCATTTTTGGAATAAACTTTCACCTTCCTGCACTAATGCTTTACTCTCAAAGTTCAGGTGTCTGCCCTATTTCAGAGAACACTGGCCTTTCATTCCTTTATTAAGACCATGGTACAGAGGGTCTCCCAAGCAGAACTCCCTGTTTGTTGTTCTGTGACTCTGTGGGATCTGAATCTGGTTCTGTCTGCGCTTCAGAAACTGCCATATGAGCCTATTAGGCACATTATTCTCCCCATTCTTACCCACAAAAAGTGGCATTGGTTGTAACCATGAGTGTCTGAACTGGCTGCCAAATTTTGTGAAGAACCCTTTCAGGTTTTGCATAGGGACAAGGTGATGTTGAGGCCTAGGACTTCTTGCCAAAGCTAGTTTTTGCCTCTCACCTCAACCAGGACATTGTTCTATCATCCCTCTGTCCTGCTCAAACTCACCAAAGGGAAATTTCCCTCTATTGTCTGGATGTACTTCTTTAAATTCCAATGATTTTTATTGATTTTCCAATAAAGTATAAAAATCATCCCATAAACATGTGGGATGAAGAAAATACAGTTACAACCGCAGACACATCTAGGCACATATCGGTATAAAGGACAAAGAAATATACCACAATAATATATCTAAATGTTTTGGAGGGTCCTATATGCCGGAGTGTACCTCTGGTGTGCTTGGCTAGCCAAGTTGAGGATGTGAGAAGAAAAAGCAGGCAAACAAGTTACTTCTCTACTGTGCCTTTGACAGGTCTACTATGGCCCAAATACACTCAGACATGCTTTGATGGTGAGCAACAGTTCTGCCTCTTGGACACTCCTGCAATATCACCTGTTACTCGACATGAGACAAATTATAGTCAATGTACCTCATACTGCAGTTAAAGTAAAGATCATCCCCTAATAAAGGGGAAGACTGAAATAAAAAGAAAAGAACTAAGAAAGAAGGAAAGATAAGAGAATAGAGAAGAGGAAGAAAGGTGCGCCACCATCTAAAACCAAGTATGAGTATCCCATCCGAGTCATGGGGAATCCAGTATCTAATCCATGGATCCCAAGTTTTCTTGAAGAGGGACAGTTTTTTGATGTAGGTTCTCTGACAGGCGTCCGTTTGTCATGATGCAAGTCAACTTGGCATTCAGAAGATGAAATGGGATCACAGGAGACTTCCAGGATCTCGCATCTGAGAGTCTAGGTGCAGTAAAGATTAAGGTTATCAACCGTCTCACATGTCTCGGCGCCCCGCTACTGGACTTCCCAGTAGGGCTTGTTGTGGATTTTTAATGAGGTTCACCTGGGTGAGAGAGTAGACAAAACTATAAATACATATCCAAAACCCTCTGACTTTTGGGCATGTCCCCCATGTGTGGAGCACTGTTCCCTCTTGACCACAGCCACTAAAGCAAAGGGGAGAAGCAGTATGTACTTCAATCAGTAAACTTATTTATTTTTCCCATCTCTAGATGGTTTTTAAAAACAGACCATAACCCAAGCTCATAGTCCCAAAGATTGGGTTCTAACCTTTCCTGTCAAAATGCACTTTGAGTGCTTCTTGGGCTTTTTAGCATTAAAGCTGAGCTCCACCCAAAAGGAGAAGCTCTGCCTGTTTGCTTCTTCCCCCCCCAGGTACCAGGTACCTGGTTTTGACAGGTACCTGCTCCCACTTCTGGCTCAGTTCACCGTGGCAAACTGAGCCAGATGTTTGTCCCCCTCCTTTCTCCTGCAGCCTTCTGGGAGACTTCACAGGCCCCAGTAGACTGCCGGACCGTTCAGGAGGTGCAGCGTGACTCAATCATGCACAGTGGGCACCCGGCTGTGAAGACGCAAGCTGCCATTGCCAGGTACCCACAGTTGAGATGCCAGCTCTAGGGAGAAAAGGGACAGCGTAGGTGAGCACATCACTGGATCCTGGGACAGGTGAGTGTGCATTTATTAAAAGTCAGAAACTATAGGTTTTGTAGCTGCTGACTTTTGATAAACACAAAAATGACTAGAGCTCCTCTTTAAGAATCTTTTTTCCCAGATTTGCAAGCCTACCACATGGCCTTCCTTTTTTTCAGTTCAGTGTTTTCATTTCATCTAATACCAGCTTTGCACATAAGGTCCTTAAGGCTGCTCTCTTGCAGGTAGTTTTCTGGTGTTTTCTTGGTCCTGTTAGTGTATGTTTGTTGTGTTGACCACCCCTCAGCTAGACTGCTTTTTGATGTTTCTTAAGGTGAATGACTTCCAGTGGTGCTCAGTGGATGAGAAAGAAAATAGGATTTTTTATACTTGCTGTAAAATCCTTTTCTTGGGGTCTATTGAGGGACACATGATCATGCTCTTGGTACTGCTTTGCCACAAAACTGAGGCATGCAGGTAGTAGGAGGGGTTATCCTAAGCTGGCCTACAGTCCACTTCTCCTTTAGGCAACAGTATAATCTGAAGAAGAATAACTTCCTTTTCCTCCTGAATGGACTTCAAGAAAAAAAGTTTAAAAATGTTGTTATTTTTCTCTTTGAATTGACAGTCCTGAAGGATTATGTAGTGTTTTTTTTGTAGATGGAAAGTCCTGAAAGAGTAACTCCAGCTCTACTTCAAGCTTGTCTCTCTTACACAATCACACTACGGCTTTCTCCACAATGGAATAAAGCTGGGCATCTTCTAATTCAAGGTGACACTGTTATTTTGTCAATCCAACATCCTGAGAGTATAAATCCCATTTGATGTTTTGATTTGCTGGACACAAACACAAAACATACAAACACATTTATTTACATTATGTTTAGTAGCAATCATTGAAAGCACAGATGTCAAACACAAGGCCTGAGGGCCAAATCCGTCCCTCCAGGCCACTTCTGCAATCAGCAGAAGAGAGGAGTACAGAACTCCATCAGATCCTGCGCTTCTCCATGCAGCCATGGAGAGGCTCTGCAACCTCCCACCCCTGGTCTCAGCAGTTGGCAGCAGAGAGGAGGACAGAAATCCTCCTACAGCTCCTGCACCTCTCAGTGCAGCCACAGCACCCCCTCATCTCCAACTCCCCTGGTCTTAGCATGCCATTCGCAAAAATAAAAACACACCATATAAATCAATAGATACAGTAATACCTCGGTTTAAGAATGCCTCGGTTAAAGTAATTTTTGATTTACAAATGAAAATGCACTGAAAATAATGCCTCGGTTTACGAATTTTGTATGAATTTTTTTTGCAATACGAAGTGTATGTCAGTGCTGATTTTTAAATGCAATTGCTGGCTCTTTTTTTTTTCTTCACTATAGCTCACAGAATTAGCTGTCACTTTCCCCAAAGTTAACGGAAATGTTTCTTTTAAGAAACTAAAAAGAAACATTGTTTGCCCCCCCCCCCCCTTTCCTGTCCTGCTGTCAGGAATGGACTGGCCAGCTATGGTGGGACTCACTTGCCTTTTGATCTGCAGTACCAGGGCTGGCCAGCGGGTGTTCCCAGCAATCAGAGACTCAACTTTGCAGCCAGCTAACACCTGTAACTGATTATGCTGGGGTATTTAAGGGATGGCCAGACCCACAGACTCTGCCTTGGTGTGTGTTTGTCCTGGGCCCTGCATCCTGTTTCTGTCCTGCATCCTGTTTCTGAACCGCTGCTGACTTCTCCTGCTCTGATCCCGGCTCGCTCCTGACCATCCCTCTGTCTGACCCTCTGTACCACGCTGCTTGCTACCTGTTCTGATCCCTGGCTTGTGACCCCGACCAATCTCCGCTTGCTCCCCCTGTACCTACCTGCCCTATTGATATTGACCCGGCCTGCCTGACGACGCTTGCTTGTATGTACTGTTATCTGTGGGTGGTTTGGTTTGTTTGCACTGTATTATGTTTTAGTATTGCACTGCGTTTATGTTTGTATTGTTAGTGTTAATAAATTATATTGTTTATAACATATCTGAGGTCTGCGTTTCCCTGCGTCAGTCACACATCTCTGGTCACACCTGGGAGCCCCTGACATTACACCAAGGCCAATCCTGACCAGAAGTGGCTGCACAGGGAAGCCATCTTGGCTTGTTGATGGGAAGGATGGATCTGGATGAGGTTGAGTATTTATCTCTGCTAGTGCTTGATGACAGAGAGTATGCTTATCAGACTCTGAAGGAGTATCCCAGGGATCAACTACTAGAATGTATACGGCTCGCTCATGTTCTAGTAGATCAGGGCACAGATTTCTCTATGGTGCAGCCATTGATTCAGGTTTGTGTTGAGTTGGTTTCATCTGGTTCCCCCGAATGCAGGGATGAATTTTTGCCACCATTTAGTGCAGACCAGGTTGAGTCCCTGGTGTGGTTATTAGAGGATGATGTGGGTTACTTTCTGGAGCGTTATTCCACATGTTCACCACAGACACTAAGAGATTGTATAAACGCAGTGCAGTCATTGACCAGACAGGCTTTGTGTAAGCTCAGCTTTGTTTCAACCCATACTGCAGACATGGACAGACTTGTTGCACCCAGCCTCAGTCAGCTTACAAAGACCCAGTCCTGCTTCTAACTCTACTCCTGTATTCCCACCAGCTCCTCCAGTTACAGCCCAGTATACTTGGCTATCTACCGCATGTCAGTACCCTGTTCCCACTCGCTGCACCTATCCTGCCTTTAACCCTGTAAAAAAGCCCTCTGTAGCAACTGCTCCCTCTTCTGTTCCATCCTCCAGTTCTTCTCTGTCTCCAGCTGCTCCATTCGTTTGCAGACCTGCGTTTACTTGCAGTGCTCCAGTAGTTAAAACCAGAAAAAAAGCGAAAATTCTTTCCAACCAATACCATCCTGCCAGTATCCGAACCGGTGAACCTGCCTTCCGTGACTCAGCCTGAAGCCTCTACTCAGCCGGATGCCTCTCTTCAGCCGGATGCCTCTCTCAGCCGCCTCTCCTCAGCCTGATGCCTCTCCTCAGCCTGATGCCTCTCCTCAGCCTGATGCCTCTCCTCAGCCTGATGCCTCTCTCAGCCTGATGCCTCTCCTCAGCCTGATGCCTCTCCTCAGCCTGAAGCCTCTCCTCAGCCTGAAGCCTCTCCTCAGCCTGAAGCCTCTCCTCAGCCTGAAGCCTCTCCTCAGCCTGAAGCCTCTCCTCAGCCTGAAGCCTCTCCTCAGCCTGAAGCCTCTCCTCAGCCTGAAGCCTCTCCTCAGCGTGAAGCCTCTCCTCAGCCTGAAGCCTCTACTCAGCCTGATGCCTGCATTCAGCCTGATGCCGCTACTCAGCATGATGAACTGATCCAGCCCGACGATCCTATTAGGCCAGTTGACTCGATGCCCGCTGTTGATCCAGATGATCCGGTACCTGATCCAGTGCCCGCTGTCGTGCCAATTGACTCAGAGCCCGCTGTCATACCTGGTGACCCGGTGCCCACTGCCTTGCCAGATGACGCGGTGCCCGCTGGCAAGCCAAATGACCTGATGCCTGGTGACCCAGTGCCCCCTGTCATACCTAGTGACCCGATGCCCGCTGTCGAGCCAGACAATCCGATACCTGATGACCCGTTGCCCACTGTCGTGCCTGTTGACTCGGAGCCCACTGTCTTGCCAGACGACTCGGTGCCCGCTGTTCCGCCAGACGACTCGGTGCCCGCAGTCTTGCCAGACGACTCGGTGCCCGCAGTCTTGCCAGACGACTCGGTGCCCGCAGTCTTGCCAGACGACTCGGTGCCCGCAGTCTTGCCAGACGACTCGGTGCCCGCAGTCTTGCCAGACGACTCGGTGCCCGCAGTCTTGCCAGACGACTCGGTGCCCGCAGTCTTGCCAGACGACTCGGTGCCCGCAGTCTTGCCAGACGACTCGGTGCCCGCAGTCTTGCCAGTTGACTCGATGCCCGCAGTCTTGCCAGTTGACTCGGTGCCCGCAGTCTTGCCAGACCAGTTGACTCGGTGCCCGCAGTCTTGCCAGACGACTCGGTGCCCGCAGTCTTGCCAGACGACTCGGTGCCCGCAGTCTTGCCAGACGACTCGGTGCCCGCAGCCTTGCCAGTTGACTCGGTGCCCGCAGTCCCGCCAGTTGACTCGATGCCCGCTGTTCCGCCAGTTGACTCGGTGCCCACTGTCGTGCCTGGTGACTCGGTGCCCGCCGCTTCGTCTGGGGGCCCGAGACCTGTCGCTCCGCCAGAGGGCCCGATGCCTGTCGCCCCGCCTGAGGGCCCGAGACCTGTAGTTCCGCCCGGGGGTCCGGCGCCCGCCGCTCCGCCCGGGGGCCCGGTGCCCGTCGCCCCGCCCGGGGGCCCGGTGCCCGTCGCCCCGCCCGGGGCCCGGTGCCCGTCGCCCCGCCCGGGGGCCCGGTGCCCGTCGCCCCGCCCGGTGGCCCGCTGCCTGCTGCTTCGCCTGGTAGCCCGATGTGCCTCTGCCCGGAGTCCTGCCCGATGTGCCTCTGCCCGGAGTCCTGCCCTATGTGCCTCTGCCCCGAGTCCTGCCCGATGTGCCTCTGCCCCGAGTCCTGCCCGATGTGCCTCTGCCCGGAGTCCTGCCCGATGTGCCTCTGCCCGGAGTCCTGCCCGGTGTGCCTCTGCCCGGTGTGCCTCTGCCGGGTGTGCCTCTGCCCGGTGTGCCTCTGCCCGGAGCCTCTGCCCGGTGTGCCTCTGCCCGGAGTCCAGCCCCGGTGTGCCTCTGCCCGGAGTCCAGCCCGGTGTGCCTCTGCCCGGAGTCCAGCCCGGTGTGCCTCTGCCCGGAGTCCAGCCCGGTGTGCCTCTGCCCGGAGTCCAGCCCGGTGTGCCTCTGCCCGGAGTCCCCCGATGTGCCTCTGCCCGGAGTCCAGCCCGATGTGCCTCTGCCCGGTGTACCGCTGCCCGGAGTCCTGCCCGGTGTGCCAGTCTTTGATATCCCGCCAGTTACCAGACCCGGGCGGTGGAACATTTTTCCCAGCTAGGACTGTTTGGAGCGTCCTGAGGCCGCTCCTTGAGGGGGGGGTACTGTCAGGAATGGACTGGCCAGCTATGGTGGGACTCACCTGCCTTTTGATCTGCAGTACCAGGGCTGGCCAGCGGGTGTTCCCAGCAATCAGAGACTCAACTTTGCAGCCAGCTAACACCTGTAACTGATTATGCTGGGGTATTTAAGGGATGGCCAGACCCACAGACTCTGCCTTGGTGTGTGTTTGTCCTGGGCCCTGCAACCTGTTTCTGAACCGCTGCTGACTTCTCCTGCTCTGATCCCGGCTCGCTCCTGACCATCCCTCTGTCTGACCCTCTGTACCACGCTGCTTGCTACCTGTTCTGATCCCTGGCTTGTGACCCCGACCAATCTCCGCTTGCTCCCCCTGTACCTACCTGCCCTATTGATATTGACCCGGCCTGCCTGACGACGCTTGCTTGTATGTACTGTTATCTGTGGGTGGTTTGGTTTGTTTGCACTGTATTATGTTTTAGTATTGCACTGCGTTTATGTTTGTATTGTTAGTGTTAATAAATTATATTGTTTATAACATATCTGAGGTCTGCGTTTCCCTGCGTCAGTCACACATCTCTGGTCACACCTGGGAGCCCTGACACCTGCGCTGCCAGGCTGCATGCTCTGAAAAGGGTCTGGTATGGATTTTGGGGAGGACCCCCACGCCATTTTGTTTTACATTTTTGCGTGGGAGTTCCCCTTAAAAAGGTGGGAAGGGAAGGTGGACCCCACGCAGTTTTTTAAATAATTTTTTTAATTGCCGGCAAGTATTTTACATTCAGCTGTCAGTGGGGAACCCCACTGACAGCTGAAATATTAACACATGGTTGTCACTACTAAAATGCCGCATGACTTGATAAAATAGCTCATGCGGTATTTATTAGTGTTTCCTTTTTTCTGATCTCCGGAACAGATTAATTGGTTTTCAATGCATTCCTATGGGAAACGGCGTTTCGGTTTAAGAATTTTTCGCTATAAGAAAAGTCCTGCAGAACGAATTAAATTCTTAAACCAAGGTATTACTGTACTTCATTTCCCTGACAGAAACTAGAATGGTATTTAGCCATTTTTCTTTTTGTGAACTGCAACTCTCCTCTGCAGCTGCTGACAATCACAAGCACACAAGCTGACAGTCTTACTACTGCACTCTCAATCTGTAAATAGCTGGTAGATGAGACAGTTCAAGGTTTATTTGCAAAGAACATGACAGAAGCAAACAGAGGGAGCACAGGGGACTGAAATGTTACACAATAAAGCTTCAGAATGAAGAGGGGGAAGGGGGAGTCAGTGTTGGCTACATCACCCATGAGTGCCCATATTTTGGGTTTCAGTCAGGGGGGAGCTACGGCTAGCACTGACAGACAAAAATTTGGTTCTATTTCTAACCACAGCACAGATTTGAACAAAACCAAGTGCAATGTGCACTGGGTCCTCATGGGGATTTAACCTTCTGGTGAGAGTACGTATTTAAGTATGAATTCTGTTTTACAGTAGCCTTGTTAGAACAGTGGGGTTCCTGTGGTCAGGTCTACACAGGGAAACCTGCATCTGTGTATAAAGACTCATCGGGGGAGAGTTACTAAAATTGGTGCACACAGATCTGGTGCAGCTGTGCATGGTAGCCAATCAGCTTCTAACTTCAGCTTATTCAAATAAGCTTTAATAACAAAACCTGGAAGTTGATTTGTTTCTTTATTTCTATGCATAGTTGCACTAGATTCTGTACTCTCCAGCTTTAGAAAATTACCCCCATTATATCAACTAAAACTTGCCTGATCTTTTAGCAGGAGTTCCTTGTACCAGTAGTCATTACTTATATAATTAAAGCAAAACTTAAAAAAAAAAAAAATTTGGAAGAAAAACCCTGTCTCCCAGTTATTTTTTTTTCATTAGTGTACACTGCCTTTGGTGCATGCGCATGCACCAGACCCATTTGTTTGGCCTGGAACAATGAGACACAGCAGTACAGTAAAAACAACAGAGGGTCTAACCCCTCACCACTACCAACAATGTTTTGTCTTTACATAAACTCTAAATTGAGATCTGTGGAAGACTATAGCATTATTTTTTTTTACAGATTACAGCAAAGAGCCTTTTCTGTATGTGTAAGCAGTAGAGTAGTGAAAAATGTTAGCTATCGATAAAATAAAAAATTTGAATTTAGAGTGACACCATTTATTGGCTAACTAAAAAGATTGTAGTGCTCACAAAGATTGTCCCCATGTCTCAAAGATTGTCCTTGTGCGGGGATCTTAGAATGTATAATTTTCCTATGAATTTCATAAACAGACTGTTTATATATCTCTAGAAAGTGGTCATATCTTCCTTTATTGGTCTCTTCTCTAGGATGAATAAATTCAGTTCTATTGATCTTTCCTTACAACTGAGGTCCTCCATGCCCCTTATTAAATTAGTTGCTAAATCTCAATACGATGCAGGTTTCAATAACATCAAAGATTCTAACCCTTCCCCACTAAAACTGAAAAGAGAACTGCCTTTAGTTCCACCTAAACAGATGTTATTATCTAGCCAATTGTGGTATGCAGCATGATGGACAAAATCTAACATGATATAGCCTTATATGCACACTGAGCCTGCTGCTGAAAAACCTTATGAAATCAAAGGTTAGAGATCTGAAGCCTATAAATTATCCCCTGTTTGTAATAGGAGTTACATATATAATATTGTATTTCATGGTATTTTGTAGGGGCAGATTTCTTATCAAAATCAGGACAGCAGGATGCGGTTGGTAAGTCACCTGTTCTAAAATAGTCTATGTACAGTAACATATCTTATCAGGGATTTTTTTTCAATTTAAATAAAAGCATATATGCTGCTGTTTTTTTTTTTTTTTTACCACAGTACCAATATCATAATATGAAACTATCACAAAAGGCCTTTGGGGTCCAGTTCTAAAAACAAGAAAAAAAATAAATTTCTTTACAAAAATTGGGGTTTTTCTCAAAGTGACCAGTCAGATTTCACTTTTCTACAATTTTTTAATAGCTTGTAAGTAAAACTATATCACTCTTTTATTTAGATTTGCGCATCAATGTGTCAGATGGCCAAATTTGCCTCTGTGTACAAGTTCAAAAAATTCGGCTTCCACCCTCTCAGGTATGGTATGTCTACATTTTTTATTACTTTTTTGCTTTTTGTATTGATTGCTTGAAGTATACCTTTTTTTTTTTTTTTGCATGCTTTTTTAGTTAATCTGTTTTCAAGGTCTATTATCTGAGAATTATTTTACTTTGTGATGTTTAGTTGAAGACTAAAGCTATCAAAGCCAATGAAGTAGAAAGTTGTAAAGTATGTGCAATTTTAACGTCGCTTAGCAAATAAGGTGACACTTAATGAAAATTGATGGACACAAGAATTCAGAGACTATTGTATTATATGGACAGGATACCCATGTCTTGCTAGTGTCCAGGAGGGAAGACGCCCTTGCTCTGCTCAGAAATTAGAGAACATGTAAACCCAACATTTCATATTCCTGGTATGTGCCTGCTGTCCCATGTACTTGTATGAAAATGTATCCTGTTCTCTTTGTATTTGCTTTCTTTGTGTGAAATACCTAGTGTTCCTGCCAGTCCTTCTGCTTTCCTATTAAAAACTGACCACACTAGGCAGGAGAGCAAAGCATGGTCAGTTCTATAGCTGTGCTGGGAACTCGGTCTGCTCTTCTCCAATGATCAGACTTCTGCTCCTCTATA